TTTCACAAGTATTGCGTCCAACGAGAAGATCGGGCCGTCACAATCACATAGTTTAATATGACAGAGCGTGGTACCCTGAGTGGTACACGTCGACATTCCGTTTAGACCTTCCACTGGGATTGATAAATTATTACGGGAAAGACCTAAGCGCCGAAAACAACTGTCTGAAATAAAATTAGCCATCGAGCCTGTATCCAGTAAGATACGAATTTTCTGAAAATCACCGTAGACATCTTTGATATGTATCAAACATGTTGATAATAATACCGACAAGAATGTTAAACGTGATTGTGTGGAAAGGTTAGCGTTTATTAGAGACGTCGGCGCAAAACTAGACGTAGAGGTTTGAGGCGTCTCTAATGTAGAGTTGTGGTTCTCATTAGAAGATTGTATTTGAGAAGGCGGTTGACTGAATAAACAAGATTCGTTGGAACTTGGATAGACATGAAGAAAAGTGTGATGTCGTGATTGGCAAACCCTACATGTGCTCGAAGAAGCACAGTTTACGGCGGAATGATATGCACCCAAACAGTTTAAGCATAAATTATGGCGTTTAGCCAACGAAATAAGTTCTTGCGCCGTTTTAGCAAGAAAGGATGAACATTTATATATAGGGTGAACACCAGAACACACGACACATTTACCCCCTTGATAAGTCACCTTCGGTCGATTGGTGGCACTGACAAAACTAGATGTGAACGGTTTTTTATTAGACTGATGAGAAAATGATCGCGAGTGAGACTGGGTAGAAAGGGTTAATGAATTAAACTGAACCGACTCCAAAGCTATACATTGTCTTTCTCAAAATGAAACCAATTGCCTGTAAGTGGGAATGTCACAGCTTCGACTGTTTTCTAATTCAAAATCTGTACGAGTTTTATTGTCCAATTTGTTCGACAACATATTGAATAATAGAAAATCCCATTGCTCAACCGGGAAATCAAGAACACGTAAAGCGGCAACATTTTCCGTGAAAGTATTTAAGAGATTTCTTAAATTAGAAGAAGTAGAATTTTTGATAACCGACGCGTTGAAAAGATCATTATAATATTGGGTAGCAAGAATTCGTTTATTCTGATACCTTTTCCCTAGAATGTCATAAGCAATCTGATAATTTGCATCGGTCAGGGGAATGCCTTTAATAAGAGCCAAAGGTTCTTGACTAATAGACGTAATAAGAAAACAGAATTTTTCCACATCGGACAAATCGTGATTGTGGTGAATTAAGCTATTAAATAGGTCAAAGAAACTAGGCCAATCTCGAAAATTGCCTGAAAAGGTGGGTATATTAAGCTTTGGGAGTGTAACTGAAGGCCTTGAAGATTGTGCACTTGAATGTGAGGAGATATTTGAAGAAGAAGACGAATCCCTAATTAAGAAATCACTCTTTATGGATTTTACTCCGTAGTATGCCTGATCAGCGGCCACCCTAAACTTATCTTGCTCCGAAAATTCCTCATCGGTTATTAATCCGATGATCAGATTGTGAGCTGTATGAAATTCTTTATAAATAGATTCGATTTCTTCTGCCCTAGCTAAGAATAATGATTTGACAGTATCATCCCTTGATGCTTGAATGCCTGCCTCATGGGCTTCTCAAAATCTAGAATACGCTGTTTGGCGCGCCAAGTTGGCTTTGTTTATTTTGCTGGACATTGTAAGATAAAAGACACGACAAAAGAGGACAATGCAAACAAAATTAAACAAATCGAACACAAGAAATGCCCTAGATTGAAAGAAGAGAAATGCGCTACCTGGTTTCAGACACAATTCTGAACAAACAAGGGAAGTATCGATAAAACTAGAATAAAACTAATTCACAAAAATCAGCACAAAAAAATGTAAAAAATGTAATACAACGTTAATAAATAATGTTTGGAAAAGTGTCAAGTAATTTAAATATTTTATTTTTATTATTACGAATACGACCTTATTTAGTTTTAAATCTTATTTAATCATAATATATTACCTAATTGCAATATGGCTTTAGTTTATTTTTAAATTCTCGAACTCCAATTGGCTGATTATTTATTGTCAAGTTCTGAGAATTCACTTGTCTGAAATTCAACATGTTTTTGGGAAACATATATCAACCCAAAACACTTCAGATTCCTTAAGAAAACGTATCAGCCTTTGTGTAGCAAGTAAAGAATGTCAGTTTAAGTTTAATTTACGGCTATTCACGGAGCTCTCTAAAAACAGTACCCTTTAGTCGATTTGGAGTAATATATACGTGCCCCTTTGCATATGATCGACCATTCTTTAAAAAACTCTCGTCCTGTACGGAAGCAAGCGCCAAGCAGATCACCACCGCAGTGTATCTCATTCCTACCCCAGCCGGGCCCAACCATAGACAAAAAGGTAAGTGAATCTCATATAGAATTGACAATAAGATATAAAATCTGCCAGTTGTTATTTGAATTCATTTTATTTTACATATATTTGCTACAAATATTCGCTATTTTCGCTAATCTTCTATACAATCTAATATTGCATATTTTTCGTTAAAATTATTAATCCAATACAATTAAACCAGCGACTTCTCAAGTTTAATCACTAAACATTTGGTCCTTCGAGCCGGATACACAAAGGCGGATACGTTTTCTTAAGGAATTTGAAGTGTTTTGGGTTGATATATATTTCCCAAAAACATGTTGAATTTCAGACAAGTGAATTCTCAGAACTTGATAATAATTAATCAGCCAATTTGAGTTCGAGAATTTAAAAATAAACTAAAGCCATATTGCAATTAGGTAATATATTATGATTAAATAAGATTTAAAACTAAATAAGGTCATATTCGTAATAATAAAAATAAAATATTTAAATTACTTGACACTTTTCCAAACAATTATTAATATTAAAAAATAGTATTAAAAGCTTTAATAATATTACCAATATTAAAAACTTTAATATATTATACATTATAATATTAATATGAATGAGTAGAAACGATTACATTTAAATATTTTCAAATTGTAACTCCAGTCGACTTAGTTCACGAACTTACAAGTACGATTGCGCGAAGCCGTGGAATTCGTACCAAACTCTCGGTCTGTAGATTGTAGATCCTTGTGTACCTACTACACAGAATCTCAACGACGCACGCGACGTTTACAAACTTGTTAAAACTTGTCTTGCAGCTATAAAAACATCACAAGACAATTTTAAAAGTAAATACTTACAAGCATAAATTAATCCTTACAATGTATACTTAAATTTCAGAATATTTTTCCAGTATTACCTTATAAGAAAACACGTACTTTTATTCAACTAAAAATAAGTAATATTTTATCCTTATAAGTATTAGCTTGTGCTTAAAAGTTACTACTTTTAAGGTAACACTTATTTTTATTCAACAGACCCAATATATCTTGTAATTCTCTTGTAATTCAAACAATCTCCCAAAAGTAGTCATCCCTTATAGCTAGTTATTATCTGTAAATTCAGCTTCACAAATAAATTTGAAAAAGAATTGGTAAAAGCACGTAACCCTGATGAACTTCTCTCTTTATTTCTATATCGTCAGGTTTCTTTTCTTTAATTTAAATTCTTGATTTAAAATACGGTCCTTGACCATAGTACAAATTTATAATAAGTTAAAATGCTTTTCGTAGACTATATCAGACTGTATTTACAAAAGAAATATGTGTCACGCTAAAGTTTTCCAAGAGTTTATTATAAGTGACCGTACTTCACTGGTGTGCACTATGAAATTTTATAACTTCTACAAGATAATCATAAATCGTGTCACTCAGATTCTCCAAATTATTTTACAAAATTTTATACTTTCCTATTAAAGTTAGCCTAAGTGCACGGTTACCCTATTTTTCGTTAAAACTGCGAAAAAGAATCAAATTTTTATGCACATAAAATGAAGGCCATAGCTCGAAGCTTAGAATTCTCAAACTTTAGATTACTCTGATTCGATAAAAAGTTGAAGCTTGAGCTTTCGGGTCTATGTATTGTAATTTATCGAAGTCACATTGATGAGGAAGTTTGTGGTGAATATGAGTAAACTTTAAATGGTTTTGTAAACTCTAAATAAGATTCTCGCCTTTCCCGAAAGTAGTTTGTATTAAATTCAATTAAGTAAAAAAATTAAACAGAATTATTTGCTTAAAAGAAATGATATCTTAGTTTTGTTATACATATTGTATATTTAGTAGGTAGTAGGAGCAAGCATTAATCTACAGAGATAAAAAAAAACTTATTTTTGTGTGAATAGGTTATATAATTTTTTTTGTAATAATTAGCGAAACTACTTTACAGCATCTAAAATAAAGATGCGAGATCTTTTGTTCTTGTGTAATGTTGGTAGTCCTTCATTGAGTGCGTCTGCACGTGGCGGATAGAGGAACGCCCCCCCAGATATGTGTGGTACCAGAAAAATAAAATATCCGGGGTGGACCACAACTAGCACGTGGTAGTGTCTATAGGTGGTCTACAGCAGGAGTCACCAATTATATCGCACCTCCGCTAAAAAAGAGTCACAACTCTTATATTTGAACTAGTCCCCGCGAGATGGCGATGTGACACTTTTGTTTTTTACAGGTTAGCTCAGCATGCATTCCGCTACAGTGTCACCTTTGACTTTATCACAGTCTACATGTAGTGTTTAATCCTGAAAAATGTCACATTTAGAATTGTAACGGTTTTTGTGTGAATTATTAGTTATATCTGATTATTTCAATAAGTAAAATACTGTTCTTTTTTGTGTTGTGACAGTTTTTCGAAGTTTTAAAAGAGGAAAATACTTTTGCATAGTGCGGAAGAGTATTACATTTTGAGTTTAGCCAGTTTTTTTGAATATGTAAGTATATTTTTTCGAACTATTTTTGGAATATGACTGTTTTGCAGAACCGGCATATACGATTTTCAAATCCACTAACGTTTATTTTTTAATTATTAGGCTTTTTTAGAATTACTGACTGTTATTTTCTTGTTTATGACTGCATGTTATCCTTTCTTGTTTTTATTTATTATTATTTTTGTTGCAGCACTCAGGCTGGTTCAATAACATGCAAAGTTCATCGAGTTCAAGGATAAGCAGAATTATGGCTCTTGCTAAGAAAATAAACTCAGAGCGTTATGCACCAGATCAAGTGCGAAACTCAGGTAATTTTATATTGACTAATAAAAAAATAGCGTGCCTAAATAACATGCACAAAGTTTTTATTTTAGCTATAATAATGTTTCTTCTAATTCAGAAATCTCAGAAAGACATCTTTTAGAAGAGGAAAATGCTGCACTTGTTTCTTATGATAATGCAAACTGTGTTATAGTTACGGATAACGATAATAATAAACCTGGTGCATCATTATTACGGGTTGATCTTCCACCAAAACGGAAAGACGACCTTAAAATCTCGGACTTTGTAAGCGATAATGATGATGATTCCATTAAAGATCCGAACTATGAATCAGATTCTAGTAGCTCTAGTTCGTCCTCCTCTTCTACATCAAGTAATAGTTCTAGCTCAAGCAGTAGTGATAGTCCAGGCGGCAATTGTTTCTTGTCGAATTCAAACAATGTAAGCCAGGTAGCAGACATTCCACTTGCAGACTCTCAAGCAGTAAATACTCCAACAGAAAGCATTCAGGTACCAGACGTTGAAGTTGCAGACACTCTAGCAGTAAACTTACAATCATCAGGACCTGAAGTACCAGATACTCAACTAACGGACATCCAACCAGCAAACACTCATCCAGCAGACACCAAAATTGCCAGTCCTAAAAAAAGAGGGAAAAAGCAAGTAGCAGTGGCAGAAAACTGGTTAAGTAACAAAGCCAAGAAATTACGAAACTCAGGCCAAGCATATGCTTCAAGACCTAAATCACAAAAACCTATTATTGCCAGGAGTATCAGACCTGCTTGTGGAGATAAATGCCGGCTAAAATGCTCTAATAAAATAGATGAAAATACCTGGAAAGATATTTTTAAAAAATATTCTGCCCTGGAAAATAGAAATAGGCAGAGGTATTTCATTCACAAATGTATGAAATCAGTCAAACCAGCGTACAGGTACAGTAGTGCAGAGAGGCCTAGACAACATACTAATGCATACTATTTTCATATAAATAATAATGAGCAAGTTCGCGTATGCAAATACTTTTTATGGCTACGCTAGATATCAACAATCGAATTACAAGAACGGTCGTTGACAAAGCTGAAAAGAATTCCTGGAATTCCTGGAAGAATTCCTGGAAGTAGACCTAAGAGGTAAACACAAAAACCATAAAAAAGTGGATCCATCGATTAAAGACGGAGTTCGTGAGCACATTCGATCGATTCCTCGTATTGAGAGCCACTATCTTCGCAAGCAAACCAATAGGGAATAGATCGAAGGTGAAAACAATTTAACTTATAATATTTAATGACTATAAACAAAATTGCCAGGAAAACAATCTACCGCACGGTAATTTGGTGATGTTCTCAAAAATTTTTAACACGAAGATTAACATTAGTTTCTTTATACCCAGAAAAGATCGCTGCGAGTTATGTGATGCGTATGAAAATGCCATAGGAGAAGCTAAGGAAATATTGGAACACAAGTATGTATTACATTTGGAAGAAAAAGATTTATCGAGAAAAGAAAAAGACCAAGAAAAGACGAAGGATAACCCCAATTACATTGTATCAGTCTATGACTTGCAAGCAGTTCTTCCTACGCCTCAAGGAACTGTATCTGTTTCTTATTATAAATCGAAGTTAAATTGCTACAACTTTACGGTGTATGATTTGAAAACTGGTTCAACGGAATGCTACTTTTGGCACGAAGAGCATGGAAATAGGGGGAGTGATGAAATAGGTTCATGTGTACTTAATTTCATAGAAAAAAAACTGGGTACTTCTAATAATGAAGCTGTGCTTGACTTTGTTTTCTTCTCAGATAATTGTTGTGGCCAACAAAAAAATAGATTTTTAATTGCTATGTATATTTATGCTCTGAGTAAATACCCTAAAATACGTTCAATAACCCATAAATATTTGCTAAGTGGACATAGTCAGAATGAAGGCGACTCTGTTCATTCAACTGTTGAGAAGGCTATAAAGAAAAGTTTAAAATCTGGTCCTATCTACGTGCCAAGTCAGTATGCACAAATTATTCGTTTGGCAAAAAAAAAGAAAGAACAAAAAGAGAAATCATACGATTTCTACCTGGCGAAATCGAATTGGAATATAAGCCGCCGTGCTCTCTAAGACTTGCAAAGCAAACAGCTTGATGAATGCATTGGAAAGGGAGTCTAAAAATTGAACTCCAAATGCCGTTCATCATGGCCTATATTCGTAGTGAATTCGATTTCTGGCACTCCAAATAAAGCAAATAAACAAAACAAAATGACGGTATTATATTTTGATTTGATACAGAGCAGCAACAAACCGCATATACGTATTTCGATCTCTTTAGACCTCCTCAGTACGGTATGGTTACTACTCCATATCAAACCAAAATATTTTCCCGTCGTAGATTATAGTTATTAAAAATAACTATGTACGGACGTAACTACGCCATCTAAGAACAAAGAACTACGCCATCTAAGAAAAGAAAGAACCTTACCATGTAAATGAATTCGGTTACTTGGATTTTTATTCGCTTAAAAAATTGTATGACGATATAGGCATGACAGGCATAAAATCTTTGAAGATTGCTGAAGTAAAGGTTTTTAAGTTAAATCAAGAAAATCCTACGACCCTCTCTTATAAAACCTCCTATAAAGATGAAAAGTTCAAGGAAGTAGATCTCTGCCGAAGAAAAAACAATACCATTCCAAACACCTTACAACAGGCCTACAGAAGTGTACTTAGCATTAAAGACAATAAGAAAAAGATCTCTTGGATTTAGTAAAGAATAATCACATTCCCAGTTGTTATTCAGCATTCTATAACTCTTTGTATTATCTCTACAATAAATAAAAAAGTTTTTCTCTGTGTTTTCTTTATTGAACTCTAACAACGTGATTTTTAAGATGATAATATCTTGTTCTAAAAAAGTGTCACAATATCGGCATGTTTATATTTTTTCACTATTATCTGCAAAAATTGTGTTCCAGTTTACAATAAAATAACATATCAGCTTGCATTTAGTCATGAAACTGACAAATACATGTTGAACTGAACTAAAATCTTTAACATCAATTTTCTCAAAACAAGGTTTTTTGAGTTGTGACTCTTTTTTAGCGGAGGTGCGATATGTTATCTGAGGGATCGTTTCGAAAACTTCCGCGGTCCGGATACTTAGCACTACACCAGGCAGTGGCGTAACCGAGAAGTGGGAGGAAGGGTTACTAGAAACTTTCCAGTAGGTGTAATCCCCCTAAGGAGATAATCAAGCTTACGTAGTTAAAATCAGGCAACTAACTCAGCTCGTTTAGGGAGGGATATGAAATAAACTCAAGGAAAAAGATGATTATAATGCTATTATATTGTTTTTTTTCTGTCATATTTCTATTTGTATCTTAGACTTTAATATAATCATTGATTGCTACTCTTTCTAGTTGTTTCCTTTATGGAACTAGAGTGTTCAACAATTTTATCGAACATAATCTAGAACTGTTTAAACATTTAAATGTTAGTAACAGCTTAGCTTGAATAGCGTTTTTTTGCTTTACAACTGCAGTTCTGTACATTTTACTGCGAATAAAAAACTATATAAGTATGGAAAAGCAAACTAAAATCTCATTGTTTTTTGGCCACTTCAGTTGAATACGTTCCTGGTACAGTAAATGAGATAGAAATTGTGTATTGTATTGATATTATTATCAGTACATTTTGAACAAAGCAGCATTGTAAATTATTACTGAAAATATTTTAAAAGCCAGACATTTACACAAAATGGTATAAAATTGTAATCAACATGTTATCTTTTCTACATTAGTTTTATTGCAAGATGAATGTGTTTTTAGGCTTTATAAATCTGAAACTATTTTATTTAAGTAGCTGAAAAGTACTCTTATTTAACATGTCGAGAAGAAGGGAATATAAATACCGCACATAACAAATTGTATATTAGTTTAATTAAATTCAAAATTAATGATTGCAATAAGTAGAAAAATAAAGGTTAAACTACTTTCAAAATTAAATTTTAGTGAGAACAATGACACTTTTATTTTGTACTATGATACTATGACTAAGAAGATAATATATTGCGCATATGTCGTGACGTCACTGAAGAGTTGCCGTTCGAGATGTCATTTTTTTGTATGTATCAATAAATAATCTTTAATAAATAGTTTGGAGATATACTTATGTGTACGATTATTGTAATTATTGAACCTCTTAACTTATTTTCGTCTAGTAATTTCATCACAGAATGCATGCAAATCCATTTAACTTTAACAAGAATTCAAATTCTACTCTCCAATGACGGCATGCGCCAACACGACCGATTTTGTGCTACGGAAAGATCCTATCTTTGGTAGTCATAGTATAATGTTTTCAGACAACCTATCCGAGATTTGGCGTGAGGTTAGTGCAACTAATTTTCATTAGGAGTCCAGATGTTCATCTGTCAACCGAGATCTGTACCGATTTCTAATAAAGTTTATTTTTGAAAAAGCGGTATCGCACACATAAGTTGAGTCTAACATAGTACACAGTTTCATTGCCAAAGATTTTATGTCCCAGTAAGACTAAATGTGTCCCAGGCAAACGTTTTTGGATCTTGAGTTTAAACATCCTTTACAACGGAATCTTCTCGATACTCGATCATTTCCATCTGAATGAAAACTTTGTTATTCTTTAAAAACGTCTGCTGCTTGGCTGCTCCAAGTTTATTAATAAAACTTGAGAACTGGGAAACTCAATATCTTTATATCTATCACAAACGGATTTAAGATGAAAATACAACTTAATATCCTCAGAAAAAACTTGAATTTTTTTCGAAAAACTTTTAATATACGACAAAAGTTCACAAATAAGTTTTCCTTTACATTGTAGTTTTAAAGTCAAGAGGATAAGATGTCTGAAGATATCCATCAAAAATTCGATAGTTGTAGCATTTTGTGTGTCCAAGAGGAAGCCTAAATGATCAATTGCAGCTTTATTATCAATATTGGACAGAAATCATTTATGTTGTCAAGTATTGAAGAGAATCTTTCAAACACTAAAACTTTGCCTAGCCATCTCAAGTTGTTATGAAAAATCAAATTGTCATTTTATAACGTTATTTATACGATTCTTCTTCTTCTTCTTCGTCTAGTCATTCACGTCCACATCTGAACATAAGCCTCTTCAAGTCTTCCTTTCCATTGTTTTTTATTGTACGCTACTTGTAGCCAATTTTTCCCGGCGGTCCTTTTCAGATCATCCGTCCATCACATAGGAGGTCTGCCTCTGGGTCTTTGGTGTTGGTATGGTCTCTAGGTTAAAATTAATCTCTGTCATTTGTTTAGATCGCTCCTAGCTACAGGTCCAGCGTATTCCCATTTCAACTTTAATGATTTTTGCACCACATCGGTGACTTTGGTTTTCTGTCTTATCCATGTGTTTGTTTTCTTGTCCTTAAGTGATATACCTAGCATTGCTCTTTCCATCGCGTGTTGAGTGACTCTAAGTATATTCATATTCTTTTTTGTAATTGTCCATGTTTGTGCCGCATAATTTAATATCGGTATAATGCATGCATCAAAAACTTTAGATCTAAGATGTAATTGAATTTGT